GAGAAAAGACCTGGGCTGAGCCTATAAAAGATTTAGCTGTGAGTTGCTGTGGAGTGAGAGCAATAGGCTGTGCAATAGCAATGCAGCAATAGGCTGCATCTCCTCTGCTTGGAGGGCACTGCTGAGTCTTGTGGGTTTGCAGTTTAACCTGTGGGGATTGATGTCACTGGGATTAGTAAAGTTCACTGCCAGCCCTCAGCTGGTGTAACTTGGACGCTGTCTGGCAGTGGGTGTTGTGTTACTGCTGTCGTGGTGTGTGAAGCACAGGAGTGACACACTTGTGGAAAATCAGGGCTGATGTCACTCGTGCTGGCTCTGCAAGGCTGTTCTACGTGCTGGACACAGGGGAGGTGCTGGGTGAGAGGAGCTGGTCTGGCTGTGGGATGACACAGCTGAGGGCTCTGCCATCTTAGGAGCGCTGAGAGGCTCTGGTATTTCTTGGGCACTGAGGGGAAGTGATTTTTTTTAGCCAAGTTGTGTAACCAGCCCCTTGAGAAACCTCTCTGTGTCTCGTGGCTGCTGCTTCATAGCACTGCTGTTGTGCAGAGCCCTGCAGCTGTGCCCCAGCACTTGTCTCTGGTTGTGCCTAAGAAGTCAGCCTGCTGTGTTTAAAAAACACTTGGGTTTTTACAAGGCTGGGAGAATGCATTTCATTGCAGCAACTATTATTTTGTTAACTGGAAAAGTTCTTTTGTAGAAGTCCTGCCTAGCTGAGGTGTCACAGCCAGGTTTATACTGCAGTTTTGTAGTACAGGTTGATGTTTATGGGACAGTTTGGGACGGAAGAGGCTCTGGGAGATCATCCAGTCATGCCCCTGCTCAAAGAAGGGTCAGTTGTGAGTCCTTTCCAGCTCAGAATATCCCATAACTGTGTGGTCAGACAAGTTTACTCCAGTCCATTCACCTTCCCCACGTTAAGGTATCATACAAAGCTGTTAAAGTGTCCTTAAAGATGCTGGTTTGGTTTTCTTTCAGGCCTCAGGAGATCAATAAGGAGGAACTGGAAGGAAACAGCATGAGGTGTGGTCGCAAACTGGCCAAGGATGGTGATGTAAGTGTGGCACGTGGCAAGCTGCAGAGACAAGTCAGGCATTTCCAAATCACCTGGGTCCTCACTGTCAAACTGCATCCAAAAGATGTCATGGAGGAAGACAGCATTTTTTTTCTCCCCAGAGGGATGGAAGCCGTGTCTGTGCAAGGAGCTGGTGTTTCCTTGTGCTCTTGTGCTGCAAGACTGGGGGAAAACTGTTAGTCCAGGCAGCCAAACAGAGCTCTGATCACTGCTGGAAAAGGAAGTTCTCGAGATAAAATGTGGAACATTCAGAGCCAGGGCCCCCTGTTAACAGATCTTGTGAAACGAGCAGAGAACGTTAATTTTTCCCATTGAAGTCACATAACCCAAGGCTGTTGACCCTGAGGAGTGCCTTGGGCACAGCTGGGGCTCAGCATTTGATACCCACTGCTGTGCTTGTCTGGGAGGCAGCTGACACTCAGCTGCTCTCACAGTCCCCTGCAGTGCCCAGTTGTCCCCAGCGAGTTCTCTGTCCCAGGCAGGTTCTGGTGCTGGCAGGGATCCCTGACCCCCTCAGTGCAGCTGAGGATGAGCCCTGGAGCTGCCGTGGCACCCCTGCTGCGTGTCACAGCCCATCCTCAGCCTGTGTCCCCTCTGTCCTGCAGTACTGCTGGCGCTGGACTGGCTTTAACTTCGGCCTGGACCTGCTGGTGACCTACACCAACCGCTACATCATCTTCAAGCGCAACACGCTGAACCAGCCGTGCAGCGGCTCCGTCAGCCTGCAGCCGCGCCGCAGCATCGCCTTCAGGTGCAGCCCGGGCTCCCCCCGTGCTGCCAGCCCTGCTGGCACTGCCTTGGCTAAAAACCTGCCCTGGCTCCTCGGGGGAAGCTCCTTGTGCTGAAATTCGGGAGGCTGAAGTGCTTTGGCTGTTGTGCCCCCAGGTTGCGCCTGGCCTCGTTCGACTGCAGCGGGAAGATGATTTGCAGCAGGACAACAGGATACCAGATCCTGACCCTGGAGAAGGACCAGGTGTGTCTGTGGGCTTGAGTGGTGGAGTTCAAGGCATGAAAAAAATGCTGGGAAGTCACCAGTGCTTTTGAAGGGGAGTTGCTGTTCCTGTTGTTTTTGCTTATGTGGAATCTCAGGCATTCCTGTTAAAGGTAGTGGGTAATTAAGCTAATTTGTGAAGTGGCTCTAGAGTAGGGTAGTGTGGGTTTCGTGAGTGTTGATAATATGAAATTAGTTCCCATATTAGTGAAATGAGTGCCTGTGGTGCTGCTGTCTGCTGCCAGTGTCATGTTCAGCTGCTCTTCAGCACTGCTGGCATCACCCTCTGCATAATCTGGCCATCAGACTCCTCATTTAGAGGCAAATTCAGAATGTTAAGACTCTCATGAAGTGAGGAGTTAAAATAATGTCTGCATGTTGTTTAAGGGTTGGATTTATTACTCTATTAAATGAATTAAAGAAAGGAGTGGAATTTTTTAGAGCAAGTGCCCTTTTCTACCCATTGCTGACTGCAGGATTTAGTGTGGGACTTGTTGATCAAGCTCCTCAAATCCCAGCCAGCAGTGATAGAAAGGTGGTGAGAACACAGAAAACCTTTCCTTGCCAGTGCCATTCTCACTGGAGGGTGAAGTTTCAGTTTTGAAGTATCAGTTGTTTTGCATCTTCATAAGGTTTAAGTTTCAATTTTGCTGCCCCAAAACCAGTTCCTAGAGCGGAACCAAAAAATTTATACACACAAAATGAAATTTGCTTTCTGTTTCAGAATGCCTGGTTGGTGAAATCTTCCAAATCTGAGAAATGTCCCTTTCTCCCCAGCATGTTGGAGGGGAAATTTGCTCCAGCATTTCCTCTGGTGTTCCCTGTGCTGCAGAGGGCAGGGAGCTCTGGGGTGGGAGCTGTGGGCAGGCTGAGAATCTGTAGCTGTTATAAACTCAAGGTGAAGACAAACTGTCTTTGCTGTATTTTTTGTATTCTGATTTTAGTCTGTAGCCATTAAGATGTGTGCAGAGTGAGCGTTGTTGTGTCAGTGTTGTGCTTTCTGGTCCCCCTCACCACACAAATGTCCTGTGTGTGCTCCAGGAGCAGATCGTGATGAATTTGGACAGCAGGCTCCTGACATTCCCCCTCTACATCTGCTGCAACTTCCTGTACACGTCCCCAGAGAAGAGGGCAGACAGCGAGGCCCAGCTGGATCATCTGGAAGCCTGAGACCTCCCTGGGCCTGGGGCACCCTCTCCACCCTGGGTGCTGCTGAAAGTTGGCACAGACAGGCCTTACACTGTGGCAGCAGCCCTGGCCTTAGTGCTCTCCTATGCAGCTCTGAAAAGACCAGACGTTAGGTAGGCCAAAACCAGTCATCCTTTTTAATTTTTTAAAGTTTTATTTCTGTTCTGCATCATCAGGCAGTGGCCATTCTGTGTTTGAGAAGTGGTACACTTGGGCTTTTCCAGGTGAAAACTGAGCCAAATGGGAAATAGGGAATTTGTGTGGATCACAACTTAGGAAATTACCTGTTGGACTCTGAGCACACATCGTAGGTTGTGTGGGTTTTGTCAGTGTGGGTTTTGGTTGTATTATTTGTTTGTTGGGTTTTTAAATAACTGATCTGTAAATACCAGATCCATATTTTGCTTTTTTTTCCTGGTCCTTTCCCATTAGGGCCAAATAGTCTCTGTAAATGTGGCCTCTCAGCTTTGGTTATTTAACTGCACAGCCTTTCCCACCTGATGGGTGTAATCCTTTTTTGCAGCTCACACACACACATTTCATTCTTGGTCTTGTTCTAACACTGCAGCCAATAATTCTCTTGTCTTTTGGCTGGTCAATTGACTAATAAGGATGTTCATAAATGCATAATTTTTTCCATGTACAGCAAGTACTCCAATGTCCTCACCATCACTTGAGTCCTGTCAGCAGCAGCTCTCAGCTGGAGTTAGGCTGAGTGCTGACTCTACTCACACAAACCAAATACCATGTTTTAACCATTTTCTGTGGCTTGTTTTAGCTGTTACCTTGGGAATACATCCCATGTTAGCTCAGGAACTTGTGACTTTCGAGTGCCTTTTGAGTTGTATGTGTAACACCAACTTCACAGCAGTTCAGCAAGGTCACAGGATCCAAAGGCAGAGCTGGGAACAAGAGATTCCTCTCCACTTGGTCTGATGGATGAGTCGTGTCATGGTACACTCTGTTCAGTCTTCGTTGGGTTTTATGTTTGTCTCTTACAATTTTGAATTCTTACAGCAGGATTTTTTGATTCAAACTGGGAATTTTTGCCTCGTTAGCCTATTTTTTTAATGTCAGAAAAAAATACCCGTTTGTACTTTATAACAAGGGTAAAAATATGCTGAGCAAGATCGAAAAACATGGCAATGTGTCAGTAAATGATTTCAAGTGGAATATTTGCCCATGTGTGTCCTTTCCTGCTGGGAATAGCTTTTGTCTTGGGTTCACCCTGTGGATTCAGCACCTCACTGTGATCTTGTGTTGTGTGACAGCTTTGCCAGCAGAGAGCAGAAGCATTTCCAGCTGTTAGCTGCTACAGCATCAATCTTATTTATAGAATTAACTGTATTTAGATACTTAACTCTGGCTTTAATTAGAAGTACCCGCTCCTTAAGACTGATTCCATGGAAAGCAGCAAGGGCTGCTGGTTAATGGCAGAGGGAACAGGTACCTCAAATCCAGGTGGGTTTTTGCAGCACATCAAAGTCTGAGCAGTGCAGGGCTTTCACCCCTGCCAGGGCCTGTCCCTCCCTGACCCACCCAGTGTCACCAGGATGTGGGATGTGGAGCAAGAAACTCATCTTGGGATTTATTTTCCAGGCTACAACCCCTTCCCTTGATCCCTGGGTGTCCCTGTGCCCTCCTGGCTGTGGGCACTGCCAGTGCCAGGGGCCAGCACCAGGGATTTGGGGTGGTGCCCTTGCTCAGGGCTTGCTGAGGGGCAGAGACGACACTGAGCCCAGCCACGGGTGGTGGTTGTTTTTCTCTGCTTTATTGTCACTGACGAGGAGCAGCAGTGGTGGCCGAGGGGAGCTGAGCAGTACAACACCACACTCAGGAGAACGGTATGAAAAGTACAAAAATAAGGAAGCCTATATATAATATCATTGCAGTCAATCGCTAGAAATAAATATTGTAAACACCAAAGAACAACATCAGGTGAATCTACAGCACTCGTTTCTGCCAGCAGCCACACAGTCTTTGGCTTTATGACTCCCACATCGAGATGCATTTTCTTTGCTTCAGGCCAGAAACATTTCAGACTGGTCAGGGATGTCACAGGGGAAAGAATTTTCCTCTCTCCAAATTACCTTGAGCACAGGAATTGTCTCTTTTTGCCTTCAGTGCCCATTTTTGTGCCAGAGCAAGTGACTGATCTCCCAAAGCAGGCATTTTCCTTGTCTGGAGGGGCGTGGGGTGAGGTTTTGTTGTTGTCACCCTGTACCTCACACCCCCTGCACAAATGGTGCAATTTGCCACCGTATTGCACTTCTCCTCTGCCGTGCACTTGGACCTTTCACCCCCTTATCTCTCTGACAGCCAGATGGGTTTGGATTGCCTGATAAGGGAGAGCAGGCACCGGGATATCTCGGGTCAAACTGCACCCGAGCTGCTGCCAGGCCAGAGATCTGTGCCCCACTGATACCCTCGGGCCACTGAGCACGAGCTTCTCCCTCCTGGCCCTGGACTCCAGGAAGGAAAGAGGCAAATTCTGCTTGCAAGTCTCACTAATTTGCTGGTCGTGTTTATATAGATCTACATGTATTTTTAAAACCCAATAAAATCCTGTCCAAAGTACCAAGGAGGAGAGATTTGCCAGGGAGGGAAGGGCAGAGACTCTGTTCCCTGCTGCCTGCATGGCCAGAGAACATTCCAGCACCCCGGGAGTGCAAAGAAAATGCATCCAGATGGGAACAACCAAGCAAAACAAAACCATCCTAAACCCACAAAGCAGCACTTCTTGCTGCAGGGAAGACACAGACTGGGCAAATCAGTCTGAGCAGTCTGTCCCCACAGATAATCATTTGCTCTTCCCTTCATATCAGTAATTAGGATTTAATCTTCCCTTCTTCATTTGAAACACATTCACAGAACATGCCATGGCAACGTTTTGGTGAGGTCCCGTTCGGGCTGGACATCCCCCAGCTGCAGGGCTGGGGACCCCGGGGAGCACAAACCCCTGCAGCCCTGGCAGGGTGCACCTGCACCCACCAGCGTCCTGCAACGCTTGGAACTGGGCACATGCCAGACCCTGCTTGCCTCTCAGGCTGAGCAAAAGCTTTCCAGCATTAGGGGAGCCTTGGGGTGTGCAAAAATCCACCACCACCCCTGGCAAGGGTGGTCCTTCCTCAGCCCAGGCAGGTGAGGGGGCTGTGGTGACCCTGCTCAGGTGCCTCAGCTCCCAGTTCCCCTCTCACCCTGTCATTTCCCTGCTCTAAAGCAGGGCTGCTCAGATCCCCATCCTTCCCATTCTGCCCCCAGAACTGCTGTTGTTTAAAGTTTCACACTATGGATTTCAGACGGGGCACAGCTGGCTAAGAGTAAAAACAGCCACTAATGCAACTCTGCACAGTGCAGCAGCTAAAAAGATTTCTGTTCTGATTTTTCAGTAGGCAAAATGCTGGTTTTCTGAGGGAAAAAATCACACAAAACTGCTTGGTACCAGATTACAGGATTTCTGTATCATCCTTCAAAGATTTATTTAACAGCTTCTAAAACTTCCACTAAACTTGGTTTCTTACATCATTTCTATACACAGGTTTTATTAGTTATAATTGTCTTGAGGCTTATAAAAAAATAAGCATTTAAAATGCCCAAAAGAGTAATTTTCCTTTAAAATTGTGCTACTGAACTTGACCCCCAACACAGAAAAGAGACTTTTGGTAATGAGGTTACCCCAAGCAGTATAAAAATATACATAAAAATAGACAACAACTCTATCCTCCAATCTGAAGGGCTGATTTGTGGGGCTTATTAGTTATTATATTTTTTTGTACATCACTGAAATTTCATTAACTTCTGCTAAATATTTACAGAAAACCTCCCCACCCTCTGTCTGCCTCCTCCCACTGAGGCAGAGACCTGCAGCTTTTAGTTCATCCAGAGTTTTCTGTTGGCAAAATCGGATCCCTGCATTGGGCTGGGTGATGCTGCGGGCACAGGGGTCCCTGGGGACCTGCAGGGCCCTGGGTTCTGTCATCCCCCCATGGGTGTCACCTTCCAGAGCACAGCTGGGGAGGGCAGGGGACAAAATAAAACCTCTCCTAAGGTTAAGCCCAGCCTGAAGCCGACAGCAGCACCGCAGGGCCCCGCTGCTCCTGCACGCCCTGGCTTTCTGCTTTCCCTTTTGTCCTGGTGATAAAGTCAGAATGCCCAAAGCTCTTGTACAACAGTCCTCAGGTATTTGGGTCTCTTTTCTCCAGTCTACCCCAAGAAAATTTTAAATTAAAAAAAAAAAATTACACGATAGAAGGAAAAAAAAAAAAGAAAATAATTACTCTGTACTCTTCTTCAACAACATGAAAAGGTGACGTTAAACTAGGTGATACAACCCCCCCCCGAGACTATGTACATAAAAAGACATCAGATCTCTTAAAACATAAATATACAGTGTATAAATCAGATGCCACCTGAAGGCTGCAGCCGCAGAACTGTTTCACAGACAGAGCAAACCAGCCTCTCCAGGCCAAGGGCAGACACGCCGCGGGTCTGGGGCTCGGCCAGGGAGCCCCACATGCAGCGGGGAGGGGTGGAGGTGTCGGGGGTGGGACCTACAGCTACTCGGGGTGCGGGGAGGTCAGCAAACGGGATCAGACCCCAAGTCCCCCGTTATTGCCAGGCACGTGCTCTGCCGGGCTGGCTGAGGGCCCTGCAGCCTGGCTCCAGCGGCTTCTCCAGGACTGCCAAGGGAGGTGCACGGTGCCCCCACGCAGCCGCGGCCACGCCGTGGAACTCTGCACCCTGTGCTTGAAGAGTTACCATGACTTTCATGGAAATAATACAGCCTTGATCAGGGGAAAAGACTAGTGGAGGTCTTTAGCCCAGTCTTAGAGGTTTGCTTCTACAGCACGGACAGCTACGACTCCGACACACATAAATAGGGACTGTTAAAGTGACAATGCAGTGTCTGAATTATCCGAGTGTTATCCCTACTGCTGCTAGGGGAGGGCCAGTGGTCGGGGCTGGGAGGAGAGCTGGGGTGTGACAGAGGTGGGACAGCTCCAGCTCCACCTGGGAGTGCAGGGAGAAGCCAAAAGACACTGTGAGCTTTACTCGACAGCTGGTTTTATGGCATGCAGGGGAACTCCTACGACAACACTTGGTACAGAGCCCACGGCGTCTCCAGTCCCACCGTGGTGCCTCGGAGAACCAGTAAAGCTACGAGTCTGCTTGGAGGGGAGGGGTGTGTGGGTGTGTGCCGAGGGAGGAGGGGTTGGGTGAGGAAACGTCCCGTTCTGCTGAAACCAAGCTCTTGGGCAAACCTGCTTCCCTCTACCGCTGCCCGGCCTCGCGGATGCGGCAGGCCACGGCCGTGATCAGCGCGGCGCCTTTGCCGCTGCCGTCCTCCGACTGCAGGAAGGTCACTTCACACTTGGGGGACAGCTGCTTCACCGTCTCCTGCAGGACCGTGGAGAAGCTGCAGGGCAAGGAGAGGGAGAGGCTCTGAATTAACCGGCCACGGGGTGAAGGTGACGGTCCCAACCCTAATCCGCCTTGCACAGAGCCTCGAAAAGCAATGCAGAGCCCGAGGGGAAGGGTGGAGGGATGGAGGGATGATGGATGCATGCATGCATGGATGGATGCATGGATGCATGGACGGATGAAGCTTAGAAAGCCCAAGTCTCCACACTTCAGCCCAAGCCCATGGTTACAACACAACCGTGCTGTACCTTCATTCAGGACTAAACCCAGCCCCTTCTCAAGTCCCACCAAGTCCTGGGACCACTAATGAGCCTCAACAGCCCTGCCCAGCCCCACCTTGGGGGAGTTTTCAGTGCCTCCCTTTGCCCATGGGCTCCTGAGCCCTGTTTAAGCTCAGCCTCAGTCCCTGTCTGAGCCCCAGTGCCCAGCAGCACCAGCCGGGCGGCTCCGGCGTTGGCAGGTTTCCATGACCCGGCTCACTGCTGGTTAGAGCTGCCTCATGGCCATGACTTGGAGCCCTGGCTGAACCTGGTCACCATGTCTGGGTCAGGCCCAGGGGGACTGGAGGAGCCCGTCCTTACGGGAGCAGCTCAAATTCGGGTCAGCGAGCTCCTGGCAGCCCTGGAGCCGCCAAACAGCTCCAATCCTCCCCCATTACCCCTGAACCTTCCCCCCGAGCCCCCAGGTGCCCCCCGGAGCACAGCCAGAGGCACTCACTGAGGGTGCAGCTTGTAGAGCGTCCCGTCCACGCCGACGGTGATTTTGAGGAAGTCGAGGCCGCGGTTCTCGCGGATCTTGTCCACCACGGCGGCCATGCCGGCGCCGCAGAGCTGGGCCGCGCGCCGCGCCACCACCGCGCACACCTCCTTCACGATGATGCTGTCGTCGCACGTGGACTCCAGCCCCAGGTGCTGCAGGATGGAGCGCACCTGCAGCAGGGCCAGGCAGTCGCTGCGGGACACGGCGGGGCGGCGTCAGCGACGGAGCAGCGGGACCGCGGCCTCCCCTTCCCACCCACGTCCCACGTCCCACGGCCTGCCCCGCCGGGGGGGCCCCACAGCCCCTTCAGCCTCAGCTCTCAGGCCTGGACGTGGCCTGCTCTCACATCCTCATCAGAGGCTATTCCAGGACAAGGCCAGCGGAGTGTGACACCCCTGCACCCCCTCCGTGCCCAGGGCAGAGGATAAAGAGCCGCCTGTGCTGCCCCAGGCAGCCTCCTCGTCTCTCCACGCAACCACGAGGGCTCTGCTGATCTATCCCTGTGGCACCACCCTGGCTCCAGACCAGGCACGTGGAACTTCTCCCGCCAGCCCTGAGGGCACGTCCTGTCCTCCAGATTCCATCCGCGCTCTGACTGACCGCTCACTCCCTCTTGGAGCTCACCTCTCTATCTGGGACAGGAACTTGGTCTCAAAGATGCCTCTGGTCTTCAGCCTCTCCGAGATCCGTCCCCGGAACAGCAGCCCTCTCTTGGTGAAGTCCATCAGGATGTTGCGGACGATTTCCCCCAGGTACATCCCGCTGATCATCTTCTCGTACCTGGGCAGGAGAGGACGAGGCCGGACATCAGGACAGGAAGGGACACTGGGGCCGGGTGGGGACTCCAGCTCTGCCAGGTGCCCTCAGCACAATCCCTTCAGCAAGTCCACCCAGGCAGAGGACGAGGGACACGTCGGTGTCCTGCCCATCTTCTGCTGGACCCACCAAGGGGCTGGTGGGGCAGATCTGCTCCCGACCTTCAGCCCCATGGGGTCCCTTCCAGCCCCCAAAGCCACCACCCACCTCTGCTTGCCAGGGTTGAGGGACAGCTCATCCACCGCCACGTCAAACTCCGTCCGGATGTCATCCAGGCAGCCGCTGTCCCCGAAGGCGCCCCACTCCATGTTGACACACATCCTGCCCTCGTCCCCTTCCACCAGCTCCACGTTCCTCATCTCCTCCATGTAGCAGGCGTTGCTGCCCGTGCCTGCGGAGAGGAGCGGGGTCAGAGGGACCCTGGGACGCCTCCCCGGGGCAGGGCTGGCACCACAGAGCAGGAGCTCCACGAGGAACTTTCATTTCTCACCGACAATCAGCCCAACTTCACAGTAGGGATCCTCGTAGCCACAGGTCATCATGGTGCCAACTGTGTCATTGACCACTGCCACCACGTCCAGGTCGAATTCCTGCAGAGGAATGGATTGCAGGAGTTATTCCTGGAGGGCTTGGAATTCCTGCCAAGTCCGCTCCCCCGGCTGGGAAAGGACCTGGCTGTCTGGTGAGTGTGGCAGTCAGAGTGACAGAATCATGGAATGATCACAGAATGGTTGGAAAGATCCTCAAAGCCCATCCCATTCTCTCCCCTGCCATGGCAGGGACACCTTCCGCTGCCCCAGGCTGCTCCAAGTCCCATCCAGCACTTCCAGGGATCCTGGGGCAGCCACAGCTTCTCTGGGCACCTGTCACCCTGGGTTTTTTTGAAGTTTCAAAGTTCTTTTAAAAGTTTTCTATGTTGTCTGATGTTTACATATTTCTACTAGAGTTTCTCACGCACTGTTCATGTAAACAATGATTGTTTTACATTCTTCTTTGTGGGAGGAAAGAATTGATGGACTGTTGGTTTAACCAGTGTGGTTGGAGAGGTGGCAGTTTCGTCCTCCAATCCACTGCCACTTTTAGAACTCTGTATATTGCAAGGTTGGGAATAAATTCCCTCCTTTTGCTCTTTTATTTTAGTTTAAAGCTGTTCTCCCTTGTCCTCCATGACCATCCACGTCCACAGGCACCCACGGGCTTCCCCACCCCAGCTGCTGCCGGCAGAGCTCCGAGCTCAGAGCCCTCCAGGCTGGTCAGCCCCGCCAGGAGCAGCCCCTGGGCAGGAGCTCGGGGTGGTCCGTGCCGAGGAAACGAGCCGGTGTCTCCTGAGCTCAGGGCCAGACAAGTCTGCTCCAGCCCTGGCCAGGAGCCAGCCCATAGCTCCAGGGTCTGAAAATCCAACCTCAAGTGATGAGTAAGGGTGGCTGTGAAAATTCCGACACTCATTACGCTGAGCTCAGCCCAGTAATTTGCTTTACAGGCCAATTAATGATGCTGAGGAGAGCCAGGATGTGGGAGCAGCCGCTGGCTTCTCCAGCCCTGTGCCTGCTCACCTCTCTCCTGTGAATGGCCTCCTTCAGCAGCCCCACCACGTCCTCTCCCTCGCAGCCCGTCGCCTTGAAACCTTTCGTCCACTTCAGGAGAATCCCCTGGTGTGGGAAAAGCCCCAGTGAGTCCCCCTGGACACAGGTGGGAGGCACAGCCCGGCAGCTGCCAGGAGGGCTGGGCTTACCTCGTCCAGGTTGTTCTGCTGGCACGGGAAGGAGAAGGTGAATCCCAGCGGGAGCGACACTCCCTTCATCCCCATGTACTCCAGGAAGTCGGAGATGCAGTGGACGATGTGGTCAAAGAGCTGCAGAGCAAAGCCAAAGGGAAGAGTTGCCACCCCAGCCAGAGCCCAGCCTGCCCAAACTGCTGGGCTCCCACCAGGCCTGCTGGAATGTTCAGATCGCTCCCAGGCCTTTGAACAGAGCGGGACGTGCCTCAGCTGCACTGTGGGAGGTGAGCAACCCCAAACAGCTCAGCTCACCCTCTTCCCCACCCACAGCCTGGCCAAATCCCTGCACTATCTCCACCTCACAGGTCCCTGGAGGGGTGGGAGCCAGCAGGGAGGTGACATGGGGATCCAGGCCCTCTGCAAGGGATCCCCACAGCCCTCCAGCCCAGTCTGCTGCAGATACTCCCAGTCCCCCAGCACTGCCTGGAGTGCTTTGCAAAACTTTCCAAATGTGTCTCACCACTTGTGTTGTGGTTTCCCTATCTGGGAAATGGGGATGATGCTTATCTGCCCTTGTGGAGTGTGTGGGATTCAGGGAGGCTCACTCATGCCTGGGAATAACACCATTTCTAACCTAAAAACCAGACTCCAGCTTCCCCAACTCCAGAGCCTTGGGCACAACTCGCTGCTCTAAGGGCAGGAGAGCCCCAGCCCTCCCCACTCCTGGTTGGGCTCCTGGTAAGGCAGAACCAGCTCCATGGTCAGCCCTGCCCCAGCCACCCAGGGAACAGCCCCTTTCCCCTCTCTGCCTGCCCGTGCTGACCTCCTCTCCCGTGCCCTGCATGATCTCCACGGGGATGGAGTAGATCTTGTTGTGCATCTCCACCCCGCGCCGCATCCCGTTCCTGACGCGCACCAGCAGCACGCGGAAGTTGGTTCCTCCCAGGTCCAGGGCCAGGAAATCTCCCTTTTCTGCAAGCCAAGAGAGGGTCATCAGGAGAATCCCAGCTCGGGGCAGCCAGGGCGTGGCACAGAGCAGAGGTGGATCTGCCCTCTTCCAGGGAGAGGGCTGGGGATGGGCAGGAACAGAGGATGGAGGTTTGCTCCAGACTCAGGGTGACAATGAGTTGGAAGGGACCCACAAGGATCCCTAAGTCCAGCTCCTGGCCCTGCACAAGCTTCAAGCCAAGGTCAGGCGCTCGCCCAAGCCACAGGAAGAGCCAGGAGCACAGCCCAGGCCGAGGGTGGAGAATCCTGTGGCAGGATCTGTGGCCACGCAGAGCCAGGCTTTGTGTTAAGTCAGGGGCAGAACGTCCCGGAGGCTCAGTGCTCTGCCCAGTTCCAAACTGGAGGTTTGTGCCACTCCCACCACAGAGAGGAGCCGGCCACAGCAAAGGTCCAGCCACTCCCAAGGATGCAGGACATGCAGGGGCTCACACACAGAGTCTTGCACAGGACACATCACCTGTTCCGTCGGGAGTGGAGCACACGTAGGTGGGCAGCATTTTCACCGTCGCCTCCGCGTGCGTCTCCTTGCCCAGCCCTTTCTCCATCTCTATCCTCATCCTTTCCTTCACCTCCAGCAGCTGCTCGTGGCTCAGCTTGAGGGGCTCCAGGATCTTCTGCCGGGCCTTGTGCTGGGCAGCCAGCCTGTAGGCCACGGCCGTCACCATGGCCGCGCCTTTGCCGCTCCCGTCCTCCGAGCGGATGAAGCGGATCTCGCAGTCCGGCAGCAGCTTCCGCACGGTCTTGTGCAGGAGACGGGCAAAGCTGGGGAGGAGGAGGGAGGGGACCTGAGTGGGACCTTCTGGGGACCCCCTGGGACCCAAACGAGGGGCCTGAGGGGATATCTGGAGGCGCTTCTCTTATGCCAAGCTGTGTGTGCTGCTGGCAGCAGCAGATCCCTCTGTGTCCCTGTCTCCAGCCCGCCCAGACCCCTGTCCCTGTCCCCAGACCCCTGTCCCTGTCCCCAGCACCCCCAGATCCATGTCCCTGTCCCCAGCACCCCCAGATCTATGTCCCTGTCCCCAGACCCCCAGACCCCTGTCCCCAGTCTCCCTGTCCCTGTCCCCAGCACCCTCAGATCCATGTCCCTGTCCCCAGCACCCCCAGACCCCTGTCCCCAGTCCCCCTGCCCCTGTCCCCAGCCTCCCCATCCCTGTCCCTGTCCCTGTCCCCAGCACCCCCAGATCCATGTCCCTGTCCCCAGCCCCCCAGCCCCCCGTCCCTGTCCCTGTCCCCGTCCCGCACTCACTGCGGGTGTTTCTTGTACACGGAGCCGTCCACGCCCACGGTGGAGCGCAGCCTGTCCACGCCCTTGTTGTCCTTGATGCGGCGCAGCACGGCGGCCAGCGTGGCCCCGCACAGGCTGGCCGAGCGTGTCGACACGATCTGGCAGACGCGCAGCGTGGCCAGGCAGTCCTCCTGCGACGGCTCCAGGCCCAGCTTGCTCAGGATCTCGTGGGCTTTCTGCAGCCCTTCCTTCTCCCTGCGAGTTCAGAAGGGGTTGGTGCCTGGGAGCGCAGCTTTTCAGGCTGGCTCAGTGCCGGTCCGTCCGGGAAACCCCCGGATCCCACTTACTTCTCGATGGCAGAGACAAATCTGGTCTCGAAGTGGCCCGTGGTGAGCAGATCGGGTGTCAGCCTTCCCCCAAAGAGCAGCCCTTCCTTGGCCATCTTCACCAGGATGAGCCTGACCAGCTCCCCCATGTACATCCCGCTGATCATCTTCTCAAACCTGCCCGTGGGGAGGCGTCAGATGGAACCAGGGAATGGTTTGGGCTGGAAAAGCCCTCCGAGGTTATCAATCCAGCCACTCCCCAGCTCTGCCAAGGCCACAGCTGACCCAGGTCCCCAAGTGCCACATCCACAGCGCTGTTAGATCCCTCCAGAGATGGGGACACCACCCTGGGCAGCCTGTGCCACACCTGACCGTCCTTTCAGAGCACAAATCCTCCCTGACATCTAAGCTGGGTGAGGGCGTCTGCCTGGGCTGGTGGGGGACTTTGCTGGCCAGGAAGGGAACAGGAATCATTCAAACGAGCGGCCACGAGGGCAGCAGGTGGGACAGCCAGGTTTGGGACACAGCTCCAGGTTTAGGAGAGCCTAGGTTTGGGACACAGCCCCAGGTTTGGGACACAGCCCCAGGTTTGGGACACAGCCCCTGCTTTGGGACACAGCCCCAGGTTTAGGAGAGCCCAGGTTTGGGACACAGCCCCAGGTTTGGGAGAGCCCAGGTTTGTGACACAGCCCCAGGTTTGGGACACAGCCCCAGGTTTGGGACACAGCCCCAGGTTTGGGACACAGCCCCTCTCCGCACCGGTGCAGAGGACACGGTGACCCAGTTAGCTGGGCTGACCTCCCCAGTCCCAGTAACGCCGGCGCTGTGGGAGGATGGACAATGCTGAGCAAACCACGAGCCCGAGCCAAGAATCTGCTCACAATTGTTTGCCAGGGTTGAGCGAGCCCATGTCGATCTCGCGGTCGAACTCGGTGCGGATGTCGTTGAGCACGCCGTCGTCACCAAAGGCCCCCCACTCCATGTTGATGCACATCCGGCCTTCGTCCCCCTCCACCAGGTCGATGTGCCTCATCTCCTCCATGTAGCAGGCGTTGGTGCCGGTTCCTGGGCCGAGCAGGGGCACAGGGTGAGCGAGGACAGCGCCTTGCCCTCGCTCCCACTATTCCCAATTTCCCTCTGGCCACAGCCCAAGGCGCCGAAGAAAGCGAAGAACTCAGCAAACACTGGACAATGCTGGTTTTCCAACACTCATATCCCCCTCTCTCTTGTTCCCCAGAGGCCTGCAAGGAGCAGGATCTCCCTCTGGCTCTCCTGGACCCCAGGAAACGTCCCCAGAACACCTTCCCCCCTCCACTGCAGCTCACCAACAATGAGGCCAACTTCACAGTTCTGGTCATCGTAGCCACAGGTCATCATGGTTCCCACGGTGTCGTTCACCACGGCCACGATGTCGATGTCAAAGTCCTGAGAGGGTGGAAGTGAGAGAGTGACCCAACGGAGGCAAAACTGACCAAAACGCCCCAAGGAGCCAGGGTGCCCAGTGCCAGAGCCGTGTGCCCCCACCCCAGCCTCTTACCCCTCTTTTCTTGATGGACTTGCGCAGCAGGGACACCACGTCCCTGCCCTCCACGCTGCTGCACTTGAACCCCTTCGTCCACGTCACGAGGATGCTCTGCAGGGGAACAGCAAGAGGGGAGCGTGGAGGTGACACCAGCACAGGGGACATGTGGCCCCGCTGCGGGGGGAGCCCCCTGTTATCCTGTTATCAGCTCAGCAGCTGCACTATCAGCAGCAGCTTCCGTGTCAGATAAAGTTTATGGCCACAAAATAACACGTGAGCTGCTCGTTCGTGCTTCCCATGAGCAGGTTTGATTGAGCCCTGCAGCAAAACTTGTTCACGAGCCCAAGGAATGCTCCTTGACCCATCCCTGAGGGGTGGATGGCTTGTTGTGCCTATGGAATGCTCCCTGACCCAGCCCTGTGGGGTGAGAGGCTCACTGTGCCTTTGGAATGCTCCTTGATCCATCCCTGTGGGGTGGGGGAGTTCACTGTACCTATGGAATGATCCCTGACCCATCCCTGTGGGGTGGGGGGGGGTTCATTGTGCCTATGGAACGATCCCTGACCCATCCCTGTGGGGTGGGGGGGTTCACTGTGCCTATGGAATGATCCCTGACCCATCCCTGAGGAGTGGATTGCTCGCTGTGCAGCAGCACCCCCAGCCCCTGCCCATCCTGGGGGGACAAAGGGACAAGGAGCACCAGCAGCACCCCTCAGCAGCAGGGCCCACGTGCCTCGCTGGGCTCGGGGATGTTTGGTCTCCTGGCAAGGTCACAGCTCTGGCAGAGCTGACAGTGACAGGGACAGTGACAGTGACAGTGACAGTGACAGTGACAGTGACAGGGACAGCCAGCGGTGCCCGGGGCTGGCAGGGGGGACAGGGGGGACAGGGGACCGCCCTCCCTGCGCCACTGCTCGGGGGGAATGTGATGCTCAGGGGGGATGTGATGCTCAGGGATGTGATGCTCAGGGACATGATGCTCAAGGATGTGATGCTCAGCACGTCTGGCTGCAGCTCTGGTGGAAAAGCTGCTTTCCAGAGAGGCATCCCAGGAGAACATCACGGGAAAACACGGAACCATCACCCCCAGAGCCCTGCAGCTCCAGGGACACAGCCCCGGCTCTGCCAGCACCACGCCCTGCTGGCACACACCCCCGAGGACCCTGTCAAAGGTCATGGATGGGTGGTAGCTGAAAAGCCTTCAAGATAAATCAGGGGAAATCCAGGATTGTCCAGAGCAGCTGTGGCTGCCCCCAGATCCCTGGAAGTGTCCAAGGCCGGGCTGCACAGGGCTTGGAGCAGCCTGGGACAGGGGAATGGGACCCTGCTCTGAGCTCTGAATGGTCCTTAAGGTCCCTTTCCACCCCAACCACTCCAGGCTCCTATGAAAACTTGGCCAGATGTGTTTAAAACAGGAGATCCAACACCACTTATTGTCATCAAACAGCTCTTCAAAAGGCAATCTGGCACATATCCTTAATTTCCTTTTAAACAGGGAGTTTATGGTGTGTTTGGAGAAGATGACAAGTAACAGGGTTATTGGGAGGTGATGCCAGTTCCCTGAAGGAACGTTCCATCCTCTGTGCCCCTGACCCTGCACCCACAAAAACATTCACAAAAACAAAAGGACAGTGCTGCTCCTGAGCTCCAAAGGCTTGGGCAATGCCTTCACAGGGACGGGAGAGGTGACAAGGGTGACCCAAAATCAACGAGCCTCATTAAAAACCTGAGTTTACATTGGTGTGGAGCCCACAGGGAGAGCACAGCCCCTCACCCACCTCGTCCAGCTTGGTCTGGTGGCACGGGAAGGAGAAGGTGAAGCCAAGGGGGAGCTTCTTGTCCTTGATCTGCAGCTTGTCCAGGAAGTTGGCCAAACACTCGGCAATGTGGTCGAAAAGCTGGGAAAAAAGGGGTAAAGAGTGACAAAAGGCCCCGCACTCAGAGGGGGAGCATCCCTGGCCAGGAACCAGATCTACGCCATCCCCTGGCCAGGAACTCCCATCCCCTGGCCAGGAATTCCCATCCCTGGCCATTATTCCCATCCCCTGGCCGGAATTCCCATCCCCTGACCAGAATTCCCATCCCCTGGCTGTAATTCCCATCCCCTGGCTGTAATTCCCATCCCCTGGCCAGAATTCCCATCCCCTGGCCAGGAACTCCCATCCCCTGGCCATTATTCCCACCCCTGGCCATTATTCCCACCCGTGTCCGTTACTCCCCCCCCGGACCAGCACTCAGGGGTGCCCAGGTGCCCACCTGCCCCCCGCTGCCGCGCATCAGCTCCTCGGGGATGGCGTAGATCTGGTTCTCCATCTCCACCTTGCGCAGCCCGTTGTCCGACACCTTCACCCGCAGCACTCGGAAGTTGGTGCCCCCCAGGTCCAGGGCCAGGAAATCCCCGTCCTCTGTGGGGCAGGACAGGGACAGCCCGTGAGCTCGGAGGGCCCTGAGGTAACCACCCCCTCCCAGCTACCAGGGGAAGGTCAGATTTTTATTATATTTCATCATTCTGTCCATGATTATATATATTTATTTTGGTATTTTATTGGAGCAGTTGCTGTATTCCCTGCCCCTCCTCTGCCCCCACGGAGGATCAATATTTTGACCATTAGAGGATCAATATTTTGACCATCACTGAGGCAGATCCAGGTGCTTTGGGGCACGAATCCCACCAGCCCTCCCCAGAAAATCCCAAACCAACAGGGATCCCACACACTGCTGGCAATGGCAGCAGGAAACCAGGGAGGGAGAAGCTCCCAAAAGCTCTGGGGCCTCGCTGCTGCCTTTTCCAGGGAGAGCTGGAGTGGAATCTTTGCTGGTTTTTTGCCAGGGTAGGATTAAACCTGCAGGACGGGATTTCTTGTTGGGACTCGGATGTTTATCTGTGTCACACTCTCACAAACCCTGAGTTCTGCAGCACTTCACCCTAGCCAGGATGGGAGCAGGGAGGAGGGTGATGGTTGCACTGGGCAGGGAAAGCCTCGGGAGAGGCACTGGGGCTCCAAGGAGAAGCTGGTTTGGCATTATTTCCCCATCAGCTCGCTGCCAGCACGGCACGGCGCTGCTCCAGCGGCTGCCAGAGCCAAGCAAAGCGAGGAAAATGGATTTTGAAAGAGCTTCTGCTTTCAAAGCAGAATTCCCCCCTCTTACCACCCCACACTGGAATGGCAAAACCCCAGAGAGGAGCCAGGGCTGGGTTTGGCTTAACCTGCAGTGTGACCTTGTATTTCCATAAGCACCTCTCATCCCCCTGGAGCTGAGCATTAAACGGGGTCTAATCCCACCCAGCGACACGGGAGGAGGGCAGGGAGGACAGGGATGGACACAGGAGCTGCGGGAGCAGGGCAGGGAGGACAGGGATGGACACAGGAGCTGTGGGAGCAGGGCAGGGAGGACGGACACTTCTGCAGGTGCCACTGGGAGCCCTGTGGCACCAGCAGCAGCTCAGAGCAGAGGAATAACCTCTCCTGGGACTGGGAGCAGCTGCTGGCACCTGGCACAGGTGCCCAGCCCAGGCCAGACTTTGCCCAGGAGCTTTAAAAAGAGGGAAGGAGGAAGGACAGCCCTGGACAGTGGGATCCTCCCCAGCTGCTGCCACACCATCTGTGCCAGGGATCTGGCACCGAGCCCCCAGCCCCGACTTGCCCCTTCCAGCCCCCTCCCCAAAACCCAAGGGACACTGATGCCACTCAGAGGCTGGATCCAGTTTGAGCTGGACAGGGAATCCCAGCTCTCTTTTCCCTGGGATTTGCTCTAAACCCCCTCATTTTCCAGCCCCCCTGGGCAGCCGCAGCACCGTGACTGCCCCAGCATCCCTCTCATGTGACATTTTCCATCCTGCTGTCCCTCCTTCCCCCCTCCCCCGGGTGAGAAATGCCAGCTGGGACACTGGAGAAGCTGGATGCAGGGAAGGGAGCCAAGGCTCTGTCTTGTAAGGGCTTGGGGAGGGATTGCTCCTTCTCCCAGAGGCAGGTCAGGGTGCTGGAAGTGCTGACACACGCTGCACCTGCACCCAGCACCTTTGGCTGCACCAGTTCCCGTGCCCAGGGGCAGCTCCTGGCCGTCCCTGTAATTAAAAATATCCTCCAACATTTAAGTAGATTGGGATCTCGATCCCAGGGCAGGCAGCCAGGGCCAGTTTTGGGTGTAGGTGCAGCTGGGGGGCCAAGATCAGGGGGTGCTTTGAGGATTGAAGGGGCTCAGAGGGCAGGGGGAGACACTTTGAGCAGGGCTGTAGGGAGAGGACAGGGGAACGCTTTCAAGCTGGAATTTATTAAAGTATACACAAGATTTAAGTTGTTGGGGAAATTCCTACAGGGAAAGGGCTGTCCAGGCCTGGCAGAGCTGCCCAGGGCAGTGCTGGAGTCCCCATCCCTGGGGGGATTCAGAAGCTGTGTGCATGTGGCACTTGGGGACATGGGTCAGGGGTGGATTGGTTGGATTTGACCGACCTGGGGGCTTTTCCAGCCCAAACCATTCCATGGCTCTGTGATTCCAGGGCTCTGTCCCTTCTGTGCCTGCCCCCAGGGAGCACACAGCCAGCAGCCATGAGGGGTTTGGGCTCTGTCCCTCCTCGTGCAGCTCTCCTGCTGGTGACCAGCAGCCCCTGCCACCGAGGTTTGGCACAAATCCCTGGGCAGGAACTGGCACAGGGCAAGCCCAGCCCTGCATCCAGCACAACCAGCCACCCCTGGGGCCTCCACGGCTGCTGCCAGCCCAGCTGTGGGTCTGCAGCAGCTTCAGCTCCTCCCCTCAGCAGCCAGGACCCAGCACTGGAGGGTCCTGGCTGCACTGGGGCGACGCTGCAGGGATGGAGCCGAGCTCGGAACACGTTCCCATCCGGAGGCAGGAGGGAGCGGTCCCTCGGCTGGGAGGAGGATGTGCCTGGCTGCAGCGTGCCCTGGGCAGCTCGGGGAGAGGCAGAAAGGCCACATTGTGAGGGCCCCGCGGTGCCGGTGGCACTGGGACAGCGCTGGCACCGCCACCAATGCAATCTGATGAGCCGGACCCGTGACTGTCTCTGTCCTGCCAGCAAGGGCACGCGAGGCCGAGGGCGGCTTCCCTCCCTCCCTCCCTCCCTTCCCCTCTGCCTGCGGGAACTGGGAGCCCCTCCAGCCCCAGCACGGAGCGGGGAGCCAGGCTGGCCCCGCACTCAGCCCCGCAGTGACCCCAGGGGTGCCACCCCTGCCCCGGCAGTGCCAGGAGGACGGGGGTCCCCAGCCCTCCCTCCGCTCCCCTCCGGCCTCCCCGTACCTGTCCCGTCCGGGGTGGACCTGACGAAGGTGGGCAGCATCTTCACGGAGGCGGTGGGGTTGGTGTCCGCGCCCAGCCCCTTCTCCATCTCCTTCTCGAAACGCTGGGACACCTCCAGCAGGGTCTCGTCCGAGAGCCGCATGTGGTACAGGTACTTGTCCACCTGTGAGAGCAGACAGAGAGCCCAGGGCTCAGGCAGGGGCTGGGACAGGTCTGGAGCAGATCTGGAGCCATCCAAAGGGCAGGGACAGGTCTGGAGCAGGTCTGGAGCCATCCAAAGGGCAGGACGGGGCGGCTCTGCTGGAATTGCTCACGCCAGGCACCATCACCATCACCATCACCCACCCTGCACCCCCTGCCCGGCCCTGCCAGCCGGGAACGCCGACCCAGGGGCTGCTCCTGGTGCTCCAGACACCCCAACAGCAGCTGCAGCAGCAGGATCAGCTCAGGGCTGGCTCAGGAGGTCGGCAGGGGAGGTTTTCCTGGAGCCCTTCCTGCTCCAGGCACCATCACACCTTGACCTTGACCCCAGGGCCTCTTCCCGCAGCCAGCAGGCTGGGCAGGAATCCACTGCCCTGTCATTTCTCCACTGCTGAGATCACCCCCAGAGCCCAGAGCTACTCAGCACCCCGGAGCAAAGCACGCCGAGGTGACACAAGTGGGAGCTGGAGTGACACGGGCGCGTGGCCGGGGAGGGAAGAAATCCACCCCATCCCCTATTCCTGGAAACTGCCGTACCCTCGAGCTGAGAATGCTTCTAAAAATGGCATGGAAGCATCTTGTCCTGCCTGGGAAAGGCATGGAAAAGCTGCTCCCAGCCACCAGCGTGTGCCTGAGCGGCCTGGCCGGAGCAGGGAGCGGGAGAGGCGGCGCTGCCCGTCCCGAACCGTGCCCCGCTCCAATTAGCCTCACTCAGAATTAATTAAAGGGCAGCTGCAAGCCCTGAGAAGTCCAGAGGAAAACTCCACCCCGTGTGCTCACCTGTCTGCAGGCACGTAACAGCGGGGTCACCGACCCGGCTGCGTTACGGGGCTGAGCTGCAGGAAATGGGCATTTTGTGGGCGAGTAATTGCAGCGGGGTCAGCGTGAGCCGCTCGGGGATGTGCCATCCCACCCTGCGCTGCACTCAGCAGCCCTGCTGCGCTTCTGCTCCGGGCTCAGGGTGCTCCAGCACATCCTTTTTTCCCCACCCCGAGTTCCCCTGGCAATCTGGGAGCTGGGGTCCCCTTGGTGAGGCCGGGGGATGGAGGAAACCCGGCCCAGCACATTCCAGGAGTGATGCTGCATGCTCTGGGTGAAACCTCCTCCCTGCTTCTCCTGCTGCTTTCAGCTCCTTCCCAAAACCAGGCAAACGCAGGGGAAAGGCCAAGGAGAAGGAAACCTGGAGATTTCCTGGCACCAGGTGTTTGCCAGCCTCTCCTTATCCAGCTCAGAAGCAGGAAGTCAAACACTCTCCTCCCTCCCCTCCTGTTTGCTTTCACCTGCTGAAAATTCCCTCTCGTGGGCTGAGGCTCTGGTCACTGGCACCAGTAACCTCCAGTTAACTGGTTCAGAGGTGGCTCTGGGGCTGGAGCTCTCCTCCATGCCAGCCCCAGGGTAGGAAACCTCCCCTTGGGCTGTGCCAAGGGTTATCCCCAGGGTTATCCCGAGGGTTATCAGTCCATGCCATCAGCCCAGAGCAGCACTCCTCATCCCAGAGAAGCTGGGTGCTTCGGGAGCTCCTCAGCAGTGAAACCCCCCACCCAAAAACCCCAGTACAGGGAGAACCCCCCTGAGGCTTCACCCCTTCCCCCAGGACAGGCCCCGCTCGGCACGTCCCCCGTGTCCTCCAGCACACCGGAGTAACCCCAGCCTGAGGAACAGGGTGACCTCCCCTAATCTCCAAAGCCCTTAAAACCAGGATCATCTTCTCCCAGCGTGGATATCACCCCACTTGGCAGCCAAAGCAGGTCAGGGCGTACACAGGGCTCCTTCCCCACTGAATCCACCCTGAGCCACGGCCACCAACCTTCCCAAAACCCCCCAGCCCCGAGGGTACTCTGGGCACCCCTCAAATTGCTACAAAGGTGGGATAAAACCGGGAATTCAGCAGTGCCAGAGCCTGAGCATCTTTCAACACAAAACACCTTCTCAGTCGCTCAACGCTTTTGAAGAGTGTGGAGTAGTTTAGGTCAGATTGCCGGTTCCAAACAAACAAAGTCACTAGGTTAGGATCCTGAAGGGGCAGTTGAGTTTCTGGAAAGCTTCCAGCCTAAGCAGCAGCGTTTCCTCGAGGAAACCCGACCAGAGTGAAGGGAGAAGGAAGGATGGGAGCCGGGAAGCGCTGGGCATGCCCCAGCCCGGGACGCCGCGTTAAAGCTGCGGGTCACGGAGCAGCTGTGGGTGTAATGAGCTCAATGCCACGTTTTGGAACCAAACCCCAGCAAATCCCCATCTCCTGGCTCAAGGCTGTCTCCAAGGCTCAGCTCCTTTCCACGCCGGATGCTGGAGAGGTGCCCAGGGTCGGCTGGCCCGGCTGCACGGCCACCGCTGGGAAACCTCAGCCTGCCCCAGTGCTGCTGCTGTGCGACCCGAGCTGAGCCCAGCCAGCCTAAAGCAGCCCAAAAACGGCTTTTGTCCCCCGCCTCGTGGCTCTGGGGCTGCAGCTGGACACGTTCTACTCCTCAAGGCTCCTCCAAAGGAGCCTGGGCCCCAAGGGATCGGTGCTGGGGAAATATTCATTAAACATGATCTTCAAATAATTAATTCCAAGTCAATGCCGCTCTCCATAGGAACGAATTGGGGCTGGAGAAGAGAAAGCCTAAAGGGGTTCCAGGAGAGCTGGAGAGGGAATTTGGCCAAGGGATGGAGGGACAGGACACAGGGAATGGCTCACAGTGCCAGAGGACGGGGATGGGTGGGATATTGGGAAGGAATTCCTGGCTGTGAGGGGGACGAGGCCCTGGCATAGGATGCCCAGATCCCTGGCAGTGTCCCAGGCCAGGCTGGACAGGGCTGGGAGCACCCTGGGACAGCGGGAGGTGTCCCTGCCGTGGCACTGGATGGGCTTTAAGGTCCTTTCCAACCCAACCCAAGCCATTGCAGGATGCTGTAAATTCCTTGGCTCACTGGCTGCCCTGGCAGGGCTGCTGAGGGTGACATGGGGCAGGAAGGGAGAGGCCTGGCGACTTTTATTCTTCTGCAATAGGGTCAGACACATCTTTCCCACTAATGGTGCCGGGTCCTGAGAAGGGGAAGCTGTTTGCCTTTTGTTTTCCTTTTGCTCTGCATCCTGTCCCAGAGCCACGTGGCTGCCAGGAAACGCGCTCCCCATCCCTCAGCATCTCCTGCTGCATTCCCAGCTGGATGTGACTGATTCCAGCAGATTTCTGAGCAAAAGCAGAGCACTGGGAGAGGGTGGCTCCTTTCTGGGACAGATTCATTGCTTTTTTGGCAACAAAGCCAAACATTTGCTGACTGCAAGATGACGGAGCAGCGTTCAAACCTGGGGAAGGCTGAAACACCCCAAAACCCATGGCTTGCGCTGTCACCCCTCTCTCCAGAGAAATTTGTGCCGGGAATTTTATTTTCTTTCAATTCCTTCCCTCCCTATCCCAGTTTTGAACTTGAAGCACGCTGTTTTGTAGGAATCCCTGAAGTCTGAGGGGATGCTGGATCCCTGGGAGGGGGATGCTGTGCAAGCACCACCCCAGCGAATCCGTGGTGGGACTTGAAGATTTGGGAAGAGCGAGGCAGAGGCAGCGGGGTGAAGGCCTGAAGGGTTTATTCCCCGTTCCACGGCCTCAGTCCCTGCGCTGCCCATCCACGCCTGCCCCCGTTTCCCACCCGGGGTGACTCAGAGCAGGGAACCGGCTGGTCCCCTTGCCCTGGGTGACACAGGGGTGATGCCCCACGTCCTGCAGCTCCTGCACACCGGCGCCAAGCCCACGTGTGCCCGGGATGACACACGGAGCCATCCTCACCCGGCTGAGTCAGATGGTTCCTGCTGGGCCGGTTCCTCCCCATCCTCAGCCCCGGGCCAGCAGCCGGATCCACGCCGGAGGTGGAGCGAGGAAGTGACCCCGGAGCATCCACGGCCCATCCTCGGCTGACCCCACAGCCCCACTGAAGCTCCAGCTCTCCCCTCCCTGCCCCGTTAAACCCACACGGTCCTGGCAGAGATCCCTGGGGATGGCAGAGCCTCACCCCCCAAACCCCCCTGGCATGGTGGGAGCATCCCCCTCCCCTCTGGGGGGAAACTGAGGCTGGGTGGCTCCGGGGAGGAGGAAGGAGGCACAGGATGGCTTCCCAAGGGTGGGAAAAGCTGTCCTGCCACTGACCTGGCTCCTGCCCCTGACCTCGGCTGCCCCAGGGGAAGCTCTCCAGTTGGTTTTCCAGGAATTTGCCATAAGTGCCCCTCCCATACCCACAGAGGCAGCCAGGGAGGAATCAGCTGGGTAAAACTAATCCCTGCTTGGGGATGGCCACAAAGGCAGGGAAATCAATTCCACCCCCGTTTTTTTCCCCTTTTGAAGGAGGGGTGGGGGAGAGGAGGCGCTCAGCCCCCACAGCCAGTGACGAGGCTGAGGGACGAGGAGGAAGGACGAGGAGGAAGGCCGGGGTGAGCTGGCACATCCCAGGGACACGCAGGGCAGCAGCGGCAAACTTTCAAGCTGGGATCTCAAAGGACGCTGCCGAGGTTAATTAAAGTTTGCACAATCCCTTGGGGGTTAGATAAGTCTGGACAACCCACTTTCCAGGCAGGAGCTGGGGAGGAAGGCAAGATGCCCCCAGATGAGTGGTGGAGCAGGTAAAGCTGCTCCATGGCAAGAATGAGAAGAAAAATCCCATTTTTGAGGCTATTTCCAAGGCCTGGAGGTGGACACAAACCACAGCTATTTGAAAAGGCACTTTTTTACCCCAGCTGAGTTCCTTTTGTCCCTGATCCAAAGGGAAAACACATCCCAGGCTACCACCTACAATCTTTTCTCGCAAATACAGGGTTTGATAAAAAGACCCAAACAAACAAATCGCAGCTTTCCAAGAATTTCACCCCCTCCACCTCCCTGTGCTGGGGACTGCCTGGCTTCTCCCTTTGCCTGGGGAGCTCTATAAACCGGGAATAATTTTTACAGCCACGGTGGAAGCAGCCAGGTCAGACAGCTGAGCTCCGTGCTCTCCCCC